TCAGTACTATTTTTGATCATTTGTGGAGGGTTGAAAGACTGAATTAACCCACAGGCAGCAAATTTTGCATAGGTGCCTCACAGACTGTAAGTCTATACAGATGGCTTTGCTTTCTCATCTACTGAAGCAAAGAGCAGTCAATCCCAGAACATTTTACAGTATGTTCACATGATTAAATTGACAACTGACTTCTTGAAAATATCAATGAATGATAGAAGACAGTGGTTATTAATCTGAGAGGTAAGAATCTGTAACTTCAATCCAGAAATGATGACAAATAGAAGAATAATGTTTACATACAAAATCTAAGATAATTTGACTCAAGTATTTGTTTGAAGTGAAGTGAATGAGAAGGTACAATATTAAAAACTTAATATCGTAAATATTTCTTTTAAATGATGAAGTTAGCCAGAAAATGTCAAACATGATCGCAGTAAAATGACAGTGTTCAGTGAGAGTGTAGAATGTGCTAAGTTTCTTATAAAAACTAAATTTTATTAGAAAAAATTATACTAAAGAATTTTATTATTTTATTTAAAGTACAATTTAGCAAAAAAATAGTCAATGGAAAATAAAATATAGAAAGAATAAAGTAAACGTTTTAAAAATGAGCTTAAAATAAATGTATGGTAATTTAAATTGTAAAATATGCAAAACTTTATGACTCTGTAAATACATGTAAAAAGCACATGGTAAAGTCCTGCTAAAGTACTTTTAAGGGAAGTTAGCATTACATAGGTGTGTTTTATAAAGGAGATCTAAAGCACTTAAATTATTTTCAAATCAAAAACTTTTGGAAAAAGGCAACATATTCCTAATAATAAAAGTAGAATGAATAAAGAAATAAAGAAATGAAACCAATAAGATGTAGCAAAACCAACAATAGAGAATTGCTGTGTACTTTTTTAATATAAGGAAAATAAAATTTTGTTAAATGACTTACGGAGACCTCAAATGAACAATGATACTCATCTTTTTATACTGGGAAGACTTAAAGTAGTATATATTTTGGACAGGAGAGGTCTGCCGCGCCATGTGGGTCAGTTCAGGAGCAGGTGGGGATCCAACTCATGCTGAAGTGGCTTTAGTTTCTTGGTGCTGTGCTTTAATCTGTTGTGCCTCCTGGGAGGGCCCCCTTGTTACTTTGGCAGTATAGGCATTGACTACATCTGAAGGGGGTATCCAATGCTGTATGCTTTCTTTTCTATTCTTTTAAAGATTTACACACACACACACAAGAACTAGGGTATAGGCCAGAGGTACAGGGAGTGAGAGGGCCCACCGGAGACAGTAGGGAGCAGAATAGGTGGATCTACTAAAATACACTGCTGAGGGGAGCAGCAGCCAAGACAGAAGAGATCTGCTGTGCCATTAGTTCTTGGCTGGAGATGGGGATTAAATCCAGGCCATAGTGGTTGCCATAACTGATAGTGTGAGACTTAACCCCTTTACTACCAGGGAGTCCTGTGTGCTGTATACGTCAAATAAAAAAGATGTACCTTTACAAACTTGGAAACTTATACTTACAAACTTGGAAACTAAACTATATCTTTGAATTATATAGTTGTAAGGAAATGTAACCTTAAAAAAAAAACAGAAAATTGATTAAAAACTTAAATTTGGAAACTAAGAGAAAATGATAAATGTATAGGCATTATAATTTTCTAAAGTTCACTCAAAAAGTAACATAAACATTAATAAAATTATATCAGTAATCAGATTCATAGTCTGTCACTCAAAAGATAGGCCCAGATGTTTGTATAAACAATTAAGATGAGGTTGAACCAATAAAACAGAAGAGTGAGTACTAAACTTATATTGGAATTTGAAATATAATAAAATCAGCATTAAAAGCAGTAAATGACAAACCATGCAATAAGTAGTAGTGGGCAAATGTTATCCATAGCTTACAGTGTATGCAGAAGTAAATTCAGGTGAATTGAAATACCAGGCATGACCTTTAACATTTTGGAAAAGAAATACTGAAGAATATTTTCATTATTTGAATATAAGTAATATTAGCTTGGAAAATTCATACAGAACACAAACTGAACTTGATTTGGTTATTTCTCCCATCCCCTAGACTGCTCCAAGGTTTGGGGGACTCGCCTAAATGGGCTGCATGAGGGGTTCTCTAATACTCAGACTTCCTGTTGGGTTTGCCAAATAAGTCATGACAATCTGTGTAAAAACGGGGAGGTCAAAGATGGGATTGTCATCTAAAGGTGTCTGTTAGTAACCATCACTATTTAAAAAAATAACTTCTTTCTACTGGAAACAAGACGATATTTTTTTAATATTTCACAGTTGCCTGAGATTAATCAGTGGGATATGTCATTAAAAATAAACAGGTATTTTAATAGCATCACATATGACCTTTTCAGTATTTCAATCGTCCTTGTTTTTCCTTTTAAGATTAGAACTAAAGATTTACAAGTACAACTGAAAATTCATCAATTATCTGTATTTCATTACTGGTGTTCTAAATTCAATTCAGTGCAACCCATTGTTGAGTACCTATTAGGTTCAAGGTACTGTGTTTCCGAGCAGAGAGAGAAGAGTACAAAAGACATGAAGCCTTTGACCATGGAAATGTTGTATAATGCTTGTACATAAAATAGCATTATTCCAAGTAATTTCAGTCTCCAGTAGTCTGCACTTTTTCCGCAGGCCTGGAGGTAGATGTATGATCACCAAATAGGTGTGTTTTCCCATCACAACTGACCTTCAGGTTTGCTTAAAGCAATACTGCTGCTCCTATTGCCTCACCTTTGTTTAATGAGAGCCATTTCCTAATGCCAATGTTGGGTTAATGGACTGAGATGGGAGAAAATCAAACGTATCTCTCCGTTTCACACCAGATTGCCTTTCTGCCTTGTGGCTTTAATCACTCAATCCTACTCACATCTGCCATAATAACAATTATGGTTTTTCTACTGACTTCTTACCCAGGAGGATATGTCAGAATATAGCAACATCTCCTGAAGAAAGGAAGGGCAAATTCTTAATCTTTTTCCAACTTCATAGGCAATAATTTTCCTTTGCAACCCCCAAGGAGCACTTCTTTTGGATTCCACACCCTCCAGTCCCACAGGTTTGTGGCTCTGTTCTGATTTATGCATTTTCTTCTATCCTCTTTTTCTGAGATAAATTGTAATTATGTAGACAGATTGTAAAATCTCTTTTTGTAAACAACTATTTCTTTGTTAGTAGTAGATTTGTTTAACTGGTTTCCTCCTATCTGAAATTTCTTATTGATCTATGAATTGTATTGTTTAACTGAAGCATCAAGAAAAAAAAAAAAAACAAAAAACCCTGGCTTCTTTTTATAGCTTTAGCTTTTCTTGAGGGATTAAACTTTGGGAAACCTCAGATTTCAACTCTCCCTTGAGAACTATTAATTTCTGTGTGTATTTGGAAAAATTCATAATATTTTAATTTTGAGTCAATATAAGAGCAAAGTATCCCTCACCAAATAAGCAGAATGATGATAATTTCAGTTCTCCTGCTTATGTAAACATTACTAACAAAATGAAAAAAATCTTGAAATCTGAAAAAAGCACTTATGGAAATACTCACAGTTGTCCCTTCCTCAGGGAACTCAGAGAAGTGTATTTGAGAAAGAGCCTCAGGTGACGCTGACAACTACAGCTTTCCCTCTGGCCCCTTTCGGGTAATAATTAAAATATTTTTTAAATGTATTTATGAACCGACTTCTTTTGCTTGTTCTGCATAAGTCCTTTTAACAATTTGGCAGATTTCCTTCTTCTAAAAAGAAGAGCATCCACTCAATTCACTTCTAATTCTGACCTCTTAGGCTACCATTGAAGTTCTATGTTTGTGTGAAAACTGCTTATGCCAAAAATAGGTGAAGTCCAGCAACTTCTCACAGCAGTTTTAACCTTTAACTCACTCCTTGCCAACCACCTCATAATAAGGACTATTCTTCCAGAAGTTTTCAAGGCATATTTGGAAGAAAAGAAGAAAGACACAACAATGTGTGTGATGTCTGCAGGTCGAGGAAATGTTTATTCCACATCTTATAGACAGTGTGCCTGTGCTTGGGAGCGAAAGTCTTTGGCCAGTGTCAGATATAAAACTGTATAAAACCATGACCCTGACCTTATTAGACTGCTGCTAATGATGTGAGTTAGCTTGCAAACTACTGCATTTTTGCATGCCTATTCATAGGAAACAGGATTCTTAATTTGGATTTTAGTGAGAGATTATAATGATATTTTATGTGCAACTTCGTGTTTATAGTTTTCTAAGGAGAGGTTTGCATTTTCATTAGATTCTCAATAGAGGGTGAGACTGAAAATAAGTTAAGATTATATAAAAATGATTGTTCTAAAGCAAAGCGATTTCAGTTAAATAAAGGAAACTGTTTATTACCTAAATAGTTTTCTGTAATCTGAGGGAGACTTCTGTTCTCCAGTGTAATTGTGAGAAAGGACATTGAACTGTGAATTTTCAGTGTTCTTCTATGTATGCCTTTGTTGTATTTTGAGAGTAAACTTTGAGCTGGAGAATCTTTTTATTTCATATGAGAGGAAAATGACAGATGAACCTTCCAATTTTGAACTTTATATGCATTTTAAGACATGAAGTGATTTTTCCCTTCATTCAATGAACATGTTTTTCAAAACCCCTTCTTCAATAATCCGTTCTATTATTTGTTTTTCCATCACAATCATTTTAAGGTAACCTGAGCCCTTCATTGCCCTTTACAACACAGAAAGGCTTAAGTCTGACCACACTTCACCTAATTAAATGTTATGGTGTTACTTATTAACTGTGGCTAATACGTTCCTGAGATAAGATGAAAGTTCACAATAGAAAATTGCCCTTCTAGGGACATCAGCTTGAGTCTCTTTTGTCTTCAGAGTGTCACAGTAAGTGTTCATCTTCACTGTCATTGAGATGCTGCATATTTATTACCATGTTTGGGAAGAAATGTAATGAACAAGTTATAAGGTGGATTTTTTTTTTAATTCCAGATTTCGTGGAAAATGCACTTAAGACAATGAGAAAATCTTAAAGGCCTGCAAATAAAGCAATCTCATCTTCAGAAATGAGAAGAAATGCAGCCTTCTGAACTGGTCATGAACCCCAAACAAGTCTTCCTCTCGGTGCTGATATTTGGAGTGGCAGGATTACTCCTCTTCATGTATTTGCAAGTCTGGATTGAAGAACAACATACAGGTATGACATAGATGGTGTTTTCCCATTCTAACTATAGTGCTCATTTTCAGTTGAATAAGCTGTACTATTTATAGATAAAAGGAAGTCACAGCATTTCCAGCAACAACAAAAGATAGATACCAACTGAAATCCTTAGCTCCTAAAAAAGGGTGATGATTGCTAAATAATATTCCATTGTGTAAATATACGCATCTTCTTGATCCACTCATCTATCAGCAACATGAATGGAGATGGAAGGGATTATGCTTAGTGAAATAAGCCAGAAAGGAAAAGAAAATATCAGCTGGCCTCACTTATAGGAGGAATATAGAGAAAACAAAAAAGAAATCAGAAAAAAAGTAGCTATAATAAAGTAAAAAGAAAAAAGAAAAAGAAAAAGGATGGTGATACTATGCTGGTGGGCATTTGCTTGGTGACTTGGGACAGTACTTAAAACTCCCATTATCTTAGCAGCCCCTCAGCTGAGCAAAGACTCCTTGTGGAGAACATGTTTATTCAAATTGTAACACCTGTCCTACCTCTGGTATATCCAGTTAGTACTGTACATAGCTCTAAAAGGAGCTGGGTATAGTGAAACTTCTAATGCTTCTTAATATTTGAGTTGATAGTCAAAATTGATCGGAAAATCTTTAATACCTTTCTTTAGTAGACATGATTTCCTTAAGAAATCAGAAAGAAATATTTTAGATTCTGTATCTGTCAGCTCGGTTGATCACCTTTGTAGATGATACATACATACATAGCCGTATGTAGATTATACATACATGTGCAGACAGGCGGTAGACCACATTTGGGCCATCAGTAGTAGTTTGCTGATCTGGCTATACTCGTCTTGTACTCCATATTCAGCTTGTAGTTGTTGCTTATTGGAGACACTGTTACTGTTCAATTGGATAATGTTTATAATAGTAATAATATTACTAAATACAATGTTCTAGAACATCATAGAAAAATATGTATATTTGCATTATGGAATTCAGTAGAAATAGACTACAGCTTATGCCTGTTAAGAAAAATAAACTGAATGATTTTCTTAATTGCATCCAATTTCTATTTTTTAAATTATTCTAAATATAAAGCTTAATGAATCTCCTCTAAGAGATGATTTAATATAGACTCATAAATACGATAATTTAAAAAGTTGTTGTCATTTTTTAATTCCCTTTCCTTGGTTCTCCTCATAGATGCTTTAGATTTATTCAATTTATGTAGTAACCCTTATGAAAAGAAATTGCTTATAAGTATTTTCTAGAGCATATGTAATATAGTGTCAAAACTTATTAATTCACATTTATATAAACTATAATATTTACTGTTTTCTATATTACTGTAATAATTTACTATAACTTATAATACTTAATGATACCAGTGGTAATAAAATATGTAAGACAATTCCTCCTATAATATAACTTCTGGTCTAGATGTTATAGGAAGCCGTCACTGGGTTTTATGGAATGAGTTAATAAAAGAATCAATAAGTAGGTTGGAAACTTGCTGCAAACCACAAACTGGACCTTAGGCAAGGAGGAAGAATCAGCGCTCTCATCAGAGGTCTGCTAATATCATAGTCTTGCAGCAAATTTTGCATGAAGACTTAACCTGCACATCCACTTGTGACCATAAACATAAACTTTAAGACAACTCCTGTAGATAACTATTGTAATGAAGTTTTATTCTTCTTCAAAAAACACTCCTTTTGGGTTTCACGTTGTTCTAGGCTAGTGCCCTGGGTTTTAATTCCATAGTTTTCTCAGGAGACTGCTACTTGTGTTTCAAATAGCATCAGGAGCATCAGAAATTTTTAAAGGCACTATCTTTTTAAATCAGAAAATATCTCATTGTGGACTCTGATGTTAAGTTGAAAACTGGAGAATCTGTCATTTGGAGATTTTGAACTGTCACTCAGAGAAGAAGATTTTGTTTGGTTCCAAGATATCGGCCATAAGCAGAACAGATTTTAAAACTCTGAATGATTTGAGATCATATAGACTCACTTATATATCTGGGAGCTCTTTGAGGCCTTTAAAGTAGATTAAGATATAGACCACTTTCTGTGCTTTTCTAGTGCCCGTGGATTTTTCCTATTAGAAGTAAAATGCTTTTGAATTATAAAATGTAATCTTAAATATTCTCTAATGTGGTAATGAAAGAAAATGTAGAGGTAAGAAGTTTTGGAGGTGAAGAGGAATAAATGGGGGCAGAGAAATTGAAATCCATTTAGTTACACAACAGAGAATCCCACAATAATACTCATTTTGTAAATCTTCAGTTATATAATTTTTGATTATTTTCAGCATGTTGATGTATTATTATAAATTTTATAATTTTTCCCTAGTTGCTAAGAGTATAAGTTTTACATTCAAAGAAATCTTGAAAATCTCAAATCTAATTACACCTAGGACCCTGAATGTTTAGCTTCTCTGAGACTCAATTTCCTCAGCTGTCCAATGGGGATAATAATGTTTTCCACATAGCATTCCAGTGAGGACTGAAGGAGACATGCCTTCAGAGCACTTAGAATGGCACTTGGTAAGCAGCAGTGCAAATGCATGTGAGCTATTACTGTCCTGGAAATGATCAGACTTGCTTTTTCTGTGTTATCACAATTAAGACTCAGCTACCATCCAGGAAAACAATAGCAAGCTTGTGCCTTGACTGATTAAGAGGGAAAAAGAGAGAAAGGCTCAATTCCAGCTCTTGTTAAAATAGTTGGAAGAATCTATCTGGCATATTGCCTTTCTGTTTCACAAAACAAGTTGGAAGGAGAATGACAGGATTAAGTACAGAGAGCAGAGTCAGTTTCCAGAAGGATCTCCAACCTATCAGGACATTTGGTCCTTCAACAGTAATTTTTGAAACCTAACAATCACAGATGCAAAAAACTGGTGAATGTAGAAATAAAAAAGAGAAATAGATATAATGCTTGTTATCAAGGAGGCCACAGTCTTATGAGTTGTAAGGGAGAAAATGGCTTTGAATTCAGGCCAAGGCCTTAGTACAAAAGGATTGTCTACTGTAACAAAAAGAAGATGACCAGATGGTTTCACTTATAGCAGGAGTATAATGCCCTGGTGAGAAAATTATAATAATAATGAACAGCTATATTACCAAAGACATTTTATGGGGGTAGAGTGGGGAATGGGATCAAAAACAGTGGGGGGAGGGAAATGCACTGGACTACAGTGATGGCACATGGGTGATTTGGCGATGGGAAGTCCAAGGGGATTACAGCTGAGATGAGAAAAGGCACCAAATGATGTAAAAATAAACTATTATATTATTAAAAAAAATTAAAAAAAGATTGACCCTCTATAATGAAGTAAAATAGTAAGTTGGGACCAGAGAAAGAGCCCTAGCCAGTCACGTGATGGAATTTTTGACCAGATGGAAGCACTATAATGAGCACTGCTGGTGGAGGGAGGGTGAGCAGGCATGTAGGATCTCATCAGAGCAGTGCAGACTTACCAGTGGGAAACACGCAGCACCAGGAGGACCAATCTAGCATGAATCTTAAGAATGGGTTGTCTTTTCCCCAATTACTACTGAAACGTGCAGTTTGGTGCCCTTTCTCTAGGTGGAGCCACACCACTAAATAGAACACTAGTAGAGCATGGCACACAGTTGTCTTGTACATGTGGTAAGTTGGAAGCTAAGCTTTAGAAAAGAATTTAAAGCTCATTTTGTATACCATCTCCTTCTTTAAAAATGTAAATCAGATTACTCCTGTTCAAAATTTTTCTCCTTTGCAAAAATTTTCAATATTCTATCATTCTCTTTAACAAAAGCTTCTCTCCTTGGGCCCTGAGAATGGAGGTGGGGGTGGGGGTGGGGGCTTGGGGGTTGTACTGCCTGGGGCCACACTCACAGCCTCCATTCACAAAGTCCTTTGCTGACTCATTGGGCCCACTGAGGTCAGGTCTCCCTTCGAATCTGGGGTGCTCTTCTCCCAGCCTCACCTGCCAGGACTTAGCCTAAATATCACCTGCTTCCATCTCCCTGACAGTCCAGTCAACCTCCCTCCCATCATATTTATTTCCACAGAGAAGTAATCATAATCAACAGCCTATTTCTTTAACTAGCTGTTGATTTAATTATGTTTTCTATCTGCAGCTGTCACTGTTTTGTGAGTTCCACAGGGACAGAGAACTTGTCTGTCGCACTTACTAGTTCAGTGTTTCCCATCCCATAACATGGGGTATATAAATATATCCCATGTACGTGCTCAGTGGTCGCACTTACAGTTAACCCATGCTTCATATGTGTTTGCAGCAGCACATCTGAATGACTACATCCCCTCAACTTAGAAAGCTCCATACATGAAGCCAAAGCTCATTTTTTTAACTTCTGCTTATTCTAATTGTATTCCTGGCATTTCATGAGCCTCACCTTTTTCCCCGTAACAAGATCTGATCTTTTTCATTACAAATGAAACCCCAGATTTTTAAACACTTTATGAAAATAATAATTTAAGTCACTTTCCTCTGAACCCATAATACTCTACATTAAAAAAAAAAGTTTACTATTCTTGCATGAGCCATGTATTTAAAAATACATATTTTAAAATATGTAAAGTAGTGAAAATACCTGAACAAATACTGAGCATTTTTGTTCAGGGCAAATAATTTTTTAGCTATAAATGATGTTTTACATGTTGACCTTACACTTAGAACTTTTTCTTAACTTTTCTTTCTTATCTTTTTTTACTTATTTATGTGTACAGAGCTGGGGTACAGGCCAGAGGTGCAGAGGCGGTGAGAGGATTCACCAGTGACAGAGTAGGGAGTAGAACAGGCAGGTCAGTGAAGTACACTGCTGAGGGGAGCAGCGGGCAGGTCAGGAGAGGTCTGCTGCGCCATGAGGGTCACCTTCGGGCCAGGGATCAAACTCACGTTGACGTGGCTTTAGCTTCTTAGTGCTGTGCTTTAATCCGCTGCACCACCAGGGAGGGCCCTTCTTTCATACCTTTAAGTAGATTTTATTATCTGATATCTCATTTCTTT